GACATAAGCCAATATGAATCATTTATTTGTTAAAATCTTCTGAAAGCCAACTTACAGGGACAAGACATGTTCGTGGTTAACAGTCAATKTTAGCACTAATATTTGTCAAGGTTGGACATGATGGTATTTGTGTAAAGTTGCATATGAGCAGATTATCAGAGGTTAATGTGAAGATGGAAACATAATTTACATGGAGGCATGGAGTGAAGCTGTTTTCAGCTTTTAAATGAATACATTAAAAAACTACAGGTTAAAAACTAAATACAGATGATTTGGCTGCTCTTGGAGGAGAAAAAAAAGACTACAACAGAGTAAAAATATTAACAAGTAAGTTCTTAAACAGATTCATTAGCTGAACAGGACTGCGTTGAGCTGACAAAGTCGATACAATTCTTAATTGTTTGTCGATTTTACATAATAAAACTGCATCGCAGGTTTCACTTAACAGTCACGGTTATTGTTAGGACACGAGACTAGTGGTTTTTAAAGAGAGTCGGCGCCCTCTGAAAGTTACACTATAATGATGCTTTTTTTTATAAATTGCATTTGATCATCCAAAAATAATGCAAACAACTTGGTAGAGCATGCCAGGCGGTTAAAAATTACTCAGTGATCACAAACGGTTAAAAGGAGACAAAAAAAATCACCAACACAAATATTAGTCAGGAAAAAAAAACATATCAAACTAGCGGTTATATATTTATATTATATATATATATAAAAGGTGAACTACAGTACTGTTGTGGAAAGGAATATATATATATATATATAAAAGGTGAACTACAGTACTGTTGTGGAAAGGATAAAACTGCATTTCTATTTATTGAGTATTCAAAAATAAAATGCTGATCTGTAGCTACCCCGGAAGAAATCCTGCTTTGGCTAACTAGCTGCAGCAGTGAGTGATTTTCTGTTTTTTTATTTTTTATTTTATTTCCCACTGTTTGTAAGGTTTAGTACAAGTTCATGCCACCTGGGTTAAAATCTGTCCACTGGGTTGTAACTCTACTAAAAAACAAAAACAAAACAGACAAAAAGCTTTCATAAAATGCATAGACTGCCGTAAAGTAAGGTGCGATAAAACTGCTCAAAATAAAATACTCTTATGTACAAAAACGCAGTAAAACATTTCACCATGTGCCAATTCACCTAAAGATCCCTTCTGTAGCTGCTGGTGGAATAAAACCAACACGGAGGAGAGCACGACTGTTTTTTTTTAAACCCTGATTCCAGACAGATAAAGGAAAAGAAAACGTGTGAACTTATTGTTGGCACCTCTCTGTAAGTTTGCTATGCCAATGTTGCCTGAAAATTAAATTAAATTAAAAATCACAGCTTTTCTCATTACAAATAATAAATGAATATATTAAATCCAAACTAAAAAACAAAAGCATCCCTCTTAAATCTCTGAATAAATCTTAAAACTATATGCGAGGTCCATGCCTACTGTTCCATTTTATTAAGATTCCATTTCTAAACTTAATCATTTTACCTGTTCCAAACAGGTATAATAAATCTGTCTGTATGGCAAAATAAATCAAGCACTGCCTCTGATTCAATCTGTAAGTATTAGTTTCTACAATAGCTATTTTTCTTTTAGGTTCAGTTCTATAAATAGATTTTGGTATTAAGGACAGACTACACTTGCTGACATTCCTGTCCCTACAGACGTGAAACTCATCACAAGTCCTCATCCATGTCGAAGCTGCTCCTGCGGCTGCTGGTTTTAGAGGCACCTGGTGACAGAGGGGAAAACAGCGGCTCGGCCCCCTGCTCCGGGGACAGGACGCACCCCTCGTCCATTAAAATGTCCCCCAGGCCCACGTCGGGGTAGAGCGCTGAGGCGGAGGGGTCGTCCAGCTCCGCGAAGCTCAGGCTGCCGAGGTCCAGCGGGCTGCTGATGGTGACGCCCGCGGGGGAGTCCGAGGAGGGCGGGGACAGGAAGGAGGCCGGCAGGGGCTGCCCCGCGGCTCCCAGGCCCACAAAGTTCTGGGCGGAGGCCCCCGCTGGCACCGAGGGGCCGCTCCGCGGAACCGCCTGGTGCTGCAGCAGGGAGGCGTCGGAGCTCAGGGCAGGCGGGACGCTGGCGGGAGCCGAGAGCCCGTGGAGCCGTGCCTGCATTTCCAGTTCCTGTGAACGACAGCAACACGGAGGCTTTCACACTGACACTGGGTTTCAACACCTGTCACTGAAAAGTGGTTCCTTAGAGACATGAAACCGTGAACTTCCCAGACTGAGGTAACTTTCACCGACATGTGCTTTGACCAGCAGCAGAAACTACAACTGATAAAACATGAAAACACAAAACATGTTTAATAATCTACACAGATTATTTCAGTGTATAAACTGCTCCTCAGAAGTTTTATGGATGGGTGATATGTTATCGTGTGCGATATACCGTCTAAGACATTCACCATGGTAATTATTTGTCATCTCGTGATAAAAACGATAAAATCCCACCGCGTGCTGCCAGGCTTTACATGCCTCCCTGCCAGGTTAAGCTTCGTTTGTTTACTTAGAGCGGACGTCGACGCGCAGAGATGTGCTGAAGTAGTGAAGCTAAAAAGCTATCATAATGACTCTTAGCGTGCAAAAACAGAGTTATAGTCATCTAAAAACACTTTAGAGTTCAACAATATGTTAGAAAAGAAAACAGGACGGCCAGCTGTAACCTGCTGGACCCACAAAAAAACACAGCTCCTCCATCTCCTGTCCCAGCCACAAGCTGCAGGCTGCGCAGCTCATACCTCTCCACTCACAGAACTAGCCCCTCCCTCCCCTGAACATTAACCCTTTAGGGAACAGATATTGTAGCTTTACTTCCCAGAGCAGCAAAAATTATTTTCAGTGATTAGTAAAAAGTCTTTTCTCATGGTTTTATATTTTATTATATTACTGATATTTTACAAGGGTTAAAGTTCTTCTGAGTTTTACAAAAACAATGATTAGAAAGAGGATGTGATTTGAAGATTTATCATATAAACCTTAGTCCATTATTATTGATAATTTTTGCTGTTTACACATTTTAAATTAATGTCAAATTTATTCTCATATTTCAGTCTTGTTTTGATGGGAGTCAGTTTTACAACATAGTTGTACTACTACTACTTGTACTACTTGAGTTTAGTGGCTTCTAGTATATATATA